AACATTTTTAGTAGGAAAGACCTATCAAGGGCTTTTAATGATTGGGGAACAGTCAGAGACAAAGTGAAGATTTGTTTAGGGCTATGCTTTTATCATCCATTAAGTAAAGATATTCCATTATCTTTTACCTGTTTAAAGTGACAATTTCCCTACAAAAAGTTACAAAATATCTCTGAAAGAGAATTACATTACCATGGACTTCAAAAGCTGCACTCCAACAGGATTATTCTGTGAAAGGTGACTACAGGTAGAAGAGTCTGTTAGTTGTAATGCTGGGACCGACACATTACCAAGGCACTTCAGAACTTTGGGAAATTAGTTTGTTCACTTTAACAGGCAACTGTAACATTGCATCCTCAGAAACCATTTACAGAAATACATATACCCTTTACCAGAATAAAAAATCTTCATGCACGATAGTCTTTAATGGCTCTTTCAGGCAATAAAGAAACATCCACATGCCAGCAACATGAGCTAAGGAGCTCCCCAAGTGCCCAGGGCAAGCCCTTCATTTCAGCAGGTGATATTCAAGATGCGCAGTCAACAGCTAAGTTCCTCTGAAAAGCTATAAAGACCTGGTCCTTCAGGGTTACTGACAGTGTCTGCTCTTAGATGTCGTAAGGTAGCACTGGGTATGTGTAACAAGTTTGTCCAATAGGCAGCTTTGGATGATAGAAGGAAAGTACTAATGCTACATCCGGACTTTCTGCTTAGTTTTAGTGTAACCTCACATTGGTAACTCATCTCCAGTTTTCACTCTCCAACTACAGGTATGGGTGTTTTTTTTTCCCCTTTTAAGTGGTCCATTAACTTCATTTAAATATTCCCATCCTTACTATTTACTCTCTAAGGAAAATTGTTAAGCTCAGATTTTACAAACAAAAACAACAATTTGAAGGTATTAATAGCTGGTGCTTTATGCCTTCTCTTCAATGAAGTCTCAAGGGTTTTTGGACTATTCGTTTTCATAATTTTCTTATCTTGCACACAAAAATAAGATTCCCCCTTTAAAATGCAGAGCATGGGAGAAATAATACTGTTTTTCAAACAAAAAATGTTTATATAAGAACAGATGGTCCAAACAAACAAAAAGAATTAAACTGGGTGGGACCAATCAGGCTCTGTAAGTGGAAAAAAAATTCTTCTGCTTTATTCAGCACAATAAAACTCACCATTTTACTACTTCTGTGTTTGGACCTTACTCCTATTTCACCAAAAATTTCCCCTCTCTCATAATTTTTCTATGATTATGTAAGGTTATGTCTATTTTTAGATCCTGAAATATCTGCATTTTAATCTTGCACAACCCATTTAAAATTAGTTACAAAAGCTGCCTCTATTTCATTTTCTGATTAAAAACGCAAAAAAAGGACAAACCAAACAAACCACACCACATCATACAGATAATGATCCAAATGGAAAAGTTAATGTGCTGTAATGATATTTGTTTTGCAACATCAAAAGCAGCAGATACTATAATTTGCTTAAATCATAAATACTGAGATTGAAATATGCATGTATAAATCACATTTAGGCTCAATGAACTGAAAGCTCTCTATAAATACATAGAAGTATATATAAAGTGCAAAACAAGCAATATCAAACGTGAGATCTCTGGTATTTTAGTACTCCCATTCATCGGATTTCAAGTCGAGATAGCTGAGAATATTCTGGGCAAGCTTCACTGCCTGCTTCCTGGCAGCCTTGCACTTCTCCTCTCCCTGCGGATCCACAGCATCCAGGGCCAGCAGCTGCTTGGTGAGCAGCTCTTCCAGCCGGATGTAGTTCTTATCAGTTCGATTGCCATCAAATGAAAGAACTTCCCCTTGGATCTCTGACAAGTTTCCAAGGACGTCCCAGACTGCTTTATGGGATGGGTGCTCCTCACAAGCAAAAAGCTTCCTTTTCTCCAGGGCCTCCTTTAAGTCAATGTAGGTTATCAGCGTCTGCACTTCGATGACCGCTCTTCTCCTGGCTTCCCGGATACAGGGGTTTTTTTCTAGACTTACCTCATCCAACTGTCCAATCAAACTCTGCAATTCTGTTTTGGAGCTCAGGTACAACTCAGAAGGGTTTTGAGCTTGGAGAAGTTCATTTTTTATTTCTCTCATTCTCTTGAGGACCTTTTCTATTTTTAAAATGGAGTGATTCTGTCCCAGGTCAAATGCTTTGGTAGTGTCTGCTTCCTCTTCCAAATCCAAATATTTCAATAATTTGTTGATATCTTCTACTACCTCCTTCCGATAATTTCTGATTTCTGTACGCCCGCACACATCTAAAGCATCCAGATCTGCAATCAAGCCTGAGAGCACACAAGATAAGTGCCTGCAAGTCTCATTACTGGTCACTCCCATCAGAAGTGCAATCAGAGTGCCTCTGGCCTTGTTCACCTCACACATCACAGAGTTAATTTTGGCAACAGAAGGATGTATATCCTCAGAGAGCGGCAGGGAAGGCTGCTTCTTCATGCAGTCTTCAATAATCTCTTGCACTGCACAGATTTTGGTTAAAGTGTGATATCTTGCTTTCCGCAAGGAGATCTTCCCTCCAGTTTTAACATGTGTCAGCCTCAGAATGATATCCTGGATACCTTCTTCAAATTCATCAGTTACACAGTTGCCTCCACTATAAAACGGCACAATTTTCTCTCTCACGAGGGACTGGGCTTCCTTAAAAATGTTCTGTATCTCAAGCCGGTGTGGGTGGTTTGCATTCTGCTCCAACTCTTTGAGAAGACGCTCTGTCTCTTGTGCTGCCCTCTTCCTAGCTTGCTGAATGTCTCCTTTCCCTTCAGTATCTACAGAGTCTATTTCAAAAAGTTGCTTTGTTAGAATCCTCTCCAGTCTCTTGTAATTCTTGTCATCTGACAGCCCACTGAAGCTGACTACTTGCTGTTCTATACTTTTTACTTCCTTTTGGATTTCCTGAAGCCTACTAATAGAAGGGTGTTGGTTTCCCATATCCATACTTTTGTAGTGTTCAGTTTCACAAGCACTAAAAGATGACAAGAACGATAACTTATTACAGCACCAAGTCTCTGCAGAATACTAATTGTATAATAATTCATTCTAAAATTTTCATTTTTAAAAGACAGACTTTATGGGCGGCGCCAGTGGCTCAGTGAGTAGGGTGCTGGCCCCATGTACCAAGGGTGGCGGGTTTAATGAAAAAATAGCTGGGTGTTGTGGTGGGCGCCTGTAGTCCCAGCTACTTGGGAGGCTGAGGCAAGAGAATCGCCTATGCCCAAGAGTTGGAGGTTGCTGTGAGCTGTGAAACCACAGCACTCTACTGAGGGTGACAAGGTGAGACTTTGTCTCTTAAAAAAAAAAAAAGATAGACTTTACAAAACGGTTTGTTATTGTAATCCAATAGACAGTCATACTCCAGTACATGAAGGATGACTTGTCAACTCCTGAAAATAACCTAAACATGAGAAGAAACAGCAGTTACTGTAATGACTGTACTGGTGAGTAGGAGCTGGAGCTCTGAGCCTGGGAATTCCAAGTTTCTCCAAGTATGTAAGACAGCAGCACATGGCTTTATAGGAGGTTGAACCTTAGAAACAGCAAAAATGGTAATACCTATAAGTCTTAACGTTGAAACCAGGAAGGCACCATTGTGGAAGGTGAAGCAGTAGCTCTTCCGACCTTCCAAACACAATAGATAACTCCTAGTTTCCAGAAAAAGTAACTGTAAACAAAAGAACCTGAGCCACTGAAACCAGTACCAGTGGTTCCCAGGCTCTCATCCTCTGTAGCTGAGTGCACTTCTCCACCCCACCCTGGTAGGTCCTCGCACATCTCCCCTGAAGAGGTCTCCCTGCAAAAGCACAAAACTCCACGGTAAAGGAAGAGAGGCAGGAATTACGTTGAAGGCACCATCTTGGGTTTCCCAGGACTGGCACCTCCGCAGCACCTTCCATGCTCCACTCCCCCCGCAAAACCGTGGCAACTACGAAAGATTCACACTCGCCTCCCTCTAGAAGTCTGAAGTCTGAAATGACTTGACGCACTTTTCACGCTCTTGGGTTTCTATCAAACGGCTCACTCGAGGCGGATAATCAACTGAAACCAATGCCTGGGGCTGTCTGAACCAAGAAAATGTCTCCGGAGGCCACCGGCCTCGCTGCCCGCCCGCTTTCTCCCTCCCTTCTCAGAGTTTTACCCAGAAGCGGTCTGAGCTGGTGGAGGTCTTGGCTCCCCGTGGTTGAGGTGGCGAGGTGGAAGATCAGCCCTTTACGGGGTGCGGCACCCGAGCTGAGCCGCAAGCTGCATCCCTCTCGCCCCTCCCGGCTAGGTCTGAACGGGGCAGCCGGAGAAGGGGCCGGCGGTGGCGGCGGCAGCTACTGGCCGCAGCGGCCGCTCCGGGCTTCTCGGCCCGGGTCCCCCGACGCTCCCGTGGGCCTTGACCTCACAATGGGCGCGCGGGGGCGGGGGTCGCGCGGGGCACCCAGCGAGAAAGAGAAGACCGGGCAAGACACCCGCCGGGAAGGGGTCCTGGCCAAGGAGGAGGAGGCCCCAGCAGTCTCGCCACGTCGGATCCAGAACTGGGGACGGCGCCCAGTCCGGCCGGGTCCCGCCAGGGAGCAGAGTCCTGCGTCCAGCCCCCACGCGAGGGGAGAAGACCCCGCATTCCCGCCACGCGGCGCTCACCTGTCCCGCCCGCGCCATCTCGCGCTCGGCTGCCGACGCCTCCACGACAGCCGCAACTCCAGGCGTCCTGCGGGCCCGGCAGCTCCGCCCTCGGGGCGAACACCCAAACCCCGGGAAAACCTTCTCCGGCGTTCGCGCCTCGCCGCCCACCGCGCTGCGCCCGCCGCTAGCGGTGCTGTAAGGCAGCCTGAGATGGCCGCCACCAGGGAGTGGCCACTGGGGTCCGCCCGCAACGCCCCCGCAGCCCGTCACGCCTCAGGGAAACCGCACGGTCGGCCGCGTCGCTCCGCTCCCCCGGGCTTTGCGACTCTGCCGTAAGGCAGCCCCTCCCGCTGTCGCGACGCTGCCGTGCGTGGCGGGAAGGAAGGGCGTGGGGGGATGGCATCCTTGCGGCGCGGGAGGAGGACCTTTCTCCCACCTCTCCGCCGCTCCTTCGCTGGTCGCGGCTGTCAGCTTGCACCGGATCGCGGTGCCAAGTGCAGGGATGCAGCGCCCAGCCGGGTAAGTAGGGAGCCTGGGGAGGTTGGGCCTGGAGGGGCGACCGCACACCCGTCACAGCCTTTACCCCGGAGCCCCGGGCAGGGGGCGCCCGGACTTCCCGTCCCGAGCGGGGAGCCCCCAAGGTTCCCGCGTCTGCAGCCTCGGTCCGGTGGAGCTCAGAGTGCCGCCGCCCCGCCGGGAACTGTTAACAACTTTTTTAATTATAACGGAGTCAGGTAGCAAGCTCGTACGTACCTCATTTATTTTCGAGGATAGCTTCGTGTATTTCTTAAATTTAAAGAGCTCTTGACGTGGACGGAGTGTAATTTTTCGTTTTTTGTTTTGGCTTCGTTAAGATTATTAGTACTTTTCTTCAAACGGTGGCCAACTTTATCATCCTACCCAGAAATCTGTGGGACTTGAAGGACTTCACGTAGAGTAGTCGTTCTTGTTTGCAGACTCTGCGCGCGTGTGCGTTTGTTACCGGTCAAAGATCCTCAAAGAATGTCTGTAGTAAGAAAGAATGGCAAAAAGTTGCTCTTCCTGGTCAGCCTCCCTGGCTCACGCCTGTAATCCGAGTAGTTTGGGAGGCACAGGCAAGAGGATTCCTTGAGTCTAGGCGTTGGAGATTGCAGTGAGCTGTGATCCGACCACTGCCCTCCAGGGCCAGAACTCCGCTCTTTAAAAGAAAAAAAAGAAGAAGAAAAAAAATTGCGACTGGGCGCAGTGGCTCACGTCTGTAATCCCAGCACTCTGGGAGTCTCAGACAGGTGGATTGCTTGAGCTCAGGGGTGCCACCGGCCTTAGCAGAGCAAGACCCCGGTCTCCAAAAATAGCCAGACGTTATGGGTGGTGCCTGTAGTCCCAGCTACTTGGGAGGCTGAGGCCAGAGAATTACTTGAGCCCAAGAGTTTGAGATTGCTGTGAGGTATGACAACACAGCACTCTACCAAAGGTGACAAAGTGAGACTGTGTGTCCAAAAAAAAAAATTTAAAAAAAAATTGACTTTCTTTGAGAAGGATGTTTGTTTAAGGAAGGCCTAAGCCTTGATTCCATGCGACAGGTGCCAATGCTATGGGATGGCCTGCAGATAGAGTATTTAAAAACAAAGCTCACAAGCACTAATGCTTCATTTACCAACGGGCTGATGAGGGAGGCTGGAAAGCTTAGTTTAAACAATAATTAAAGGCAGGGTAAAAAAGAGGCAATTAAGAACTGCAAAATATGCCAGCCTGTAACTTTTCATTTCTTTTTGGCTGTGGATACTTGGACACTTTTATAATTGTGGCTTTGAAGTTTTGTCTAGTTTACAGTTTAGACGAAGAAGTACCAGGATAGCTTTTTGCCCAGGCTCCAGCTGCTGGCTCAGTTCTCTATTGCAGTGGCCATAGCCCTGCTTCTCTTACTGGAACATAGAAACCCCTTCAGCATCTCAGGCTTTGGGCAGAAAAATGAAAAAGTTCTGGAAAGTTCAACCAAGAACTTTCCCCAGGGTGAGAATTTTCCCTAGCTTATTCTGTGAATTACTGCCGGGAAAAAAAAACCAAAACCCTGTACTCAAAGATTTCTCCATTGCCATATAGGTTTTTTGTTAAAATAAATCTTACCGTGGGTGTGATCTTCAAGATGTGGCCTCTCTCCCTTTTGTAGTCCGAGTGACAAGTAAGCCTGTGCTGTGCACCTGTCTGACTGCCCACACTTGTCAAAGGGGATGATTGTGAGTGCGATAATGCTAGAAGGTGGAGTGACTGGGCCATGAGTCAGAGCTTGCTCAGTGCTGGCATTTCAGCTTGACACAGTCTCCCTGTGTCACCCAGGCTAGAGTGCAGTGGTGTCATCATAGCTCACTAGAGCCTCAGACTCCTGGGCTCAAGTGGTCCTCCTCCCTCAGGCTCTCCCCCACCCAGTAGCTGGGACTATAGGTGTATATGGCTGGCTAATTTTTCTATTTTTAGTAGAGATGGGGGTCTTGCTCTTCCTCATGCTGGTCTTGAATCCTGGGCTCAAGCAATCCTCCCACTTTGGCCTCCCAGTTTTTTTGTTTTTTTTTTTTTTTGAGACAAACTCTCAAGCTGTCGCACTGGGTAGAGTGATAACTCACAGTAACCTCCAACTCTTGGGCTCAAGTGATCTTCTTGCCTGTTTTTTCTTTTCTCTCTTTTTTTTTTTTTTCTTTTTTTTTGAGACAGAGCCTCAAGCTGTCCCCCTGGGTAGAGTGCCATGGCATTACAGCTCACAGCAACCTCCAACTCCTGGGCTCAAGC